TTTATCACCAGGCACTTGCTTCATTCTTCCCAAAGGTCCTTCAATATCTTATCCGTGTTTAGCCCATCTCCGCGCTGATAAGGAAGCGGGGGGGACTACCACCTCCTTACTTAATCCTTAGCCTTCTGGTCTGCAGCAAGGCTGCTGCTTATATGCCTTGCCAGTCCCTTCCCAGCATGCCTTGCTGTCTCACCTTACAGTCACCTGATCACTATGTATCCCCCTTAGTACCTGCAAGCTTCTCTCCCAGACTGCACTTGTTTGGGGCTGAACCAGGACCAGGGTTGTGGTGAGTCAGCAGAAGCCCTTAAAGGGTCACTTCATAATTTGTTACATAATTAGGGTTACCCCCCTCCCCCCCATCCAGTTTTTCCAAGGATTTATCGCTTTTTTTTAAAGATAGCTGATCTGGGACTCTGCAAGAGTGCTCAGTTGTCCAATTTTGTGGGCTCAGGATAATCTCAGTTATCCTTTTTATTGGAACCTTAAAAGTGGCACCCTATGCAGAACCCATTTGGAATAATGCTGCTCTAGAAGATGCAAAGGATGAACTATTAACACTGACATCAAACTGCCTCTCCATGGCTAGCAGGTTATCCTCATGTAGGAGGCATTATGATTACTAATTCCAGATACACACCAGAGTAACTGAGATCAGAATCTGCCCCAAAGTATTTGAAAAATTCCAAAACTAGTGTTAAGATCAGGTTTATATAGCTATTACAATAAAAACTCTTTAAATGATTATTTAGTTTGCAAAATCAAGCACCCAAAAGTTAGGAAATACCAGTTTTGTGATTGTACTACAAACTTAATTGTTCCCTTTTGTGCATCTATCCTGTGCACTAAAGGCCCGGGCCCGGGGAAAATGATTGTGTAATTACAGTGTATGGCTACGTCTAATTTGCATCCCTTTTACGAAAAAGGGATGCAAATTAGACGTATCGCAATTGCTAATGAAGCGGGGATTTAAATCTCCCCTGCTTCATTAGCATAAAATGGGCTGCCGCTTTTTTCCGGCACGGAGCTTTGCCGGAAAAAAGCACCAGTCTAGACGCGGGTCTTTCGGAAAATAAAGCCTTTTCCGAAAGATCCGCGTCTAGACTGGTGCTTTTTTCCGGCAAAGCTCCGTGCCGGAAAAAAGCGGCAGCCCATTTTATGCTAATGAAGCGGGGGAGATTTAAATAATCGCTTCATTAGCAATTGCGATACGTCTAATTTGCATCCCTTTTACGAAAAAGGGATGCAATCTGGACGTAGCCTATATGTTTGGTACCTCCTAGGTGCCATATATCCCAGCACAATGTCTTCTGTTCTGGTGATAGCACAGATCTAGCCTTAGTATTTTGATGACAAAGGTGTCCTGAGAAACAAAAGTGAGAGAAGGAAAATAGTGACTTTTCCAGTTTAGATCTAAATAGAATGAATATCATGGGATAAAGAAAAGGCACATCTCTCTTCCTTAGTTCAAAAGCTTGTGTCAAGCAATGAAGGTGTAAGAGCTTCTCTAAAACACTGCACAAGAATCTTTTATACTGGGAAGAGCTAGGCAGCCCAAATATAGGAGTCACTACCAGCTCCCCCTCTCTTGCATGCTAATGTGCTGTGTGAGAATGAGTTATCCAGCCTGGTTGCTTCTCAGAACATTTAAAATTTGTATAGGCAATATAAATAATGCTGCTAAGAAGCTGCTGCTGTGTGGAGGAACTTTTCATTCAATGCCACAACTGTTTTGAAAGCCCTATCTATAGTGACATACTCAAGGGTTGCTCATTTCCTCTGGTCCTACAACTTCATATTTTACCATGTATCCACTTCTATATTCCAACTCTGTTCCCTGAACTCGCTGAATTTTGGGGAGCTTGCACATCAGTGGCTTGGCATTGCAATAAGAAGATGAGATAACCACATGCTAGAAGAACCAGTCTTCTAGGATCCAGAACCAAAGCACATTGAATCAATGGAAGGACTGCCATTGTCCTCAGTGGGTTTTGCATCAGACCTTACAATCCTCCTTCCAGCAGCAAGGGGTCTAATGAGTGCTTACTTCCATACTTCGGAAGCAGGGGTTCTCTGACTGGGTTTTCAACACTAACATTGCCACCCAGAGACCATCATGGGACAGAGCAGTTTCAGGTTTGCTGAAGTTCATGGTGGAACCAAACTGTTCTTCTCCCACATTCACCTGAACATTCTGTTCTGTTGCATCAGTGATGGTCTATATTCTGGACAAACGATCCTCAAACCGCTTCGGGGGTAGCCGAGTTAGTCTGTACAGGATAAACTTAAAAAACAACAAATAATCTGGTAGCACTTTATAGACTAACAAAACATGTAGATGGTATCATGAGCTTTTGTGGGCACAGCTCCCATCTTCAGATGACCGGAGTTTTGAGTTTAGGATGTGCACACCCAAAATAAACCATCAGTACTAGGGAATTACATGTATCCAGCAGGGGCTGTAGTGACAGTAAATAGAAATATTTCATGTAGGGCTTCCAGAAAAATTGGAATATTGAGAGCTGTAAATCCATCTGCTGTGGACATGATGGTCAGTGTTCTCTGAGGCTGTGTCTAGACTGCATCCCTCTGCTGATCAGATCCTGTATTTTTTGACAGATCCTGTATTCCTCAAAAAATGATCCTCAAAAAGCCTCCGCTGTTGGCAGAACCGCGGCTACACTTTACTTTCACTTTCGACACTGAGCCTGATCGGCACAGTGTTGGAATATGAGTTTGCAAATGAAGCCTGAGATATTTAAATCCCGGGCTCATTTGCACTTCCAAAGTGCTTGATTTGCATTCCTCTGTCGGCAGAGGGATGCAGTCTAGACGTAGCCTGAGACAGTTAGGGTACATGCTCACCAGGCTGAATAAAGCCTCATTATTAACATTACTTGGAGACACACAATCACTCCAGCCCCTTGAGAATGCATGATGTGTGTGTTTTCTGTGTGAACCACCATCTAGTCTTAGCAACATCATAATTCCATTAGAGGCACTGAGATCAAACATGATTTGGAGATTTTCCAAGAAACATCACATACCAGCTGCTGGTTGTTGGTACACCCCGGGATACTTTGCTCCATTTGTTTTAACTCTCTCAGTGACCTCTTCCATCAATAGCTCTGCTGGAAGTTCAGCTACTATGGATTCTGCAGCAGGAGCTGGTCCTCCTGCAAGACTCCAGCAGCAGTTAACTTATTACAGGACTCATGCCAGACAGCTGTCCAAGGTAACTTCCCTATGCCCATCTGTGTATAGCATCTAAGATCCTTTTTGCTCTTGAGTACAACATGGTTAGAAAAAAAACCATATTAATTCCTTGTGGTTTTCCCTACCTGGCCTGAAGTACAGAAGAATAATAAGTTGTGGCAGCATAACAAAACATGCTTCTCCTCGTACTGTTTCGAGGTGGCCCCAAACGGGATCCCATTCTCAGAATCGGGATAAGTTTGGACCTGGACTGAGAACGTTGTCCCTTGGGGCTCTCTCTATGGCAGAACCCCAAATTCAGACACTCATGAACATTGGGGTAGCTCAGATCTGGATTCTGCAGCTCTGTCCCATAGGAATTGTTTTTACCACGTATAGCTTACCTGCTGCACGTGGGGTTACGTAAAGGGACCCTAACCTTCTCATGGGCCCTACCTGCTGTTGCAATGCTAATAACAGCCCATCGTCATTTGTTCAAAGAGAATTGCTGTGTGGGGAGAGGGTGCATTTATTTGAGGCCAGGCTATAAGGCAGGGGTGGGGCACCTTTTTTGGGTCAGGGGCCGCTGACCCACAAAAAAATTGGTCAGGCCCCTGACTGAGAAGCAGAAACTTACTCCTCCCTATTCCCTTTGTGCACTAGAACCTGTGGCGCCTAGGCTTGTAAATTTTGTGAGCTCTCCCAGGGGTGGGACCAAAAGTTAGGGGTTCAATGTGTGGCAAAGGTCTGCCAGGAAGGGGTTGGAGGTGAGTATCTGGGCCGGATGGGGGTGTAGGAGCAAAGTGGGGTTCCACAGTTCGGATAGGAGGTGGGGTACAGGAGCATGCTGGTGTTTGGGGGGTTCTGGGTGGGAGGGAGTGCAGGAGCTGGCTGGGGGTTTTGGGGTATGGGAGGATGTTAGGGTGCAGGAGTAGGCTAGGGCCTGCCAGGCCTTAGGTTCCTCACCCCTGATATAAGTGTTGCTGTGTCTCCCAGGCCACAAGACTTGGGAAGGGGATGCTCAAGGGGGCCTGATCCAAAACCAATTGAAGTATTAGAGGACACGAAATGAAATTAATGGGTAGCAGGTTTAAAACTAATAAGCAAAAGTTCTTCTTCACACAGCACATAGTCAACCTGTGGAACTCCTTGCCAGAGGAGGCTGTGAAGGCTAGAACTATAACAGAGTTTAAAGAGAAGCTAGATAAATTCATGGAGGTTAGGTCCATAAAAGGCTATTAGGCAGGTGGTAGGAATGGTGTCCCTGGCCTCTGTTTGTCAAAGGCTGGAGAGGGATGGCACGAGACAAATTGCTTGATCATTGTCTTCGGTCCAACCCCTCCGGGGCACCTAGCACTGGCAACTGTCGGCAGACAGGCTACTGGGCTAGATGGTCCTTTGGTCTGACCCAGTACGGCCGTTCTTATGTAAGTAAATGAGAAGATTTTTACGGGGATTTCAGCATGCTTTGGCTCAGGCCCTCAGTGTTTTGAAGAGGCAATAGTAGCGTATTCCACATTATCTTGCAAAGAAAAGCAAACTCCTTCCTCTCCCACCGCTTCCACTCAAAACCAAACAAATCCTGAACTTTATTTTTGGCACAGGAGAATGGGAGTGAAAAGTGTGTGAAAGTTCAAACAGCTTTTGTCTGCTGCATCAAAGCTGCCAGTCGGAGGGAATCGCTGAATTAGAAAGGAAACAGCCTTTCAAAGTCAACGAGCCCCTTCTACAATGTGCTTTGTTATACTGTAGCCTCTTCTGAGTCTATTGATTTTTTTTAAAAAAAACCAATTTGTTTCTTTTAGGTGAAGAGTGAAGGCCCCAAGCTGGTGCCCTTTTTTAAAGCCACTTGTGTCTATTTTGTCCTCTGGCTGCCAACTTCCAGCCCTTCCTGGTTCAGTGCCCTCATCAAGTGTCTGCCCATCTTCTGCTTATGGGTTTTTCTGCTGGCTCATGGAATCAATTTCTTAGTCGCACATCGGAGCGCCAGTAGGATCTTAGCAGGGTTAATATTCTCCGCAGTGGGGGATGCCTTCCTCATCTGGCAGGAGCAAGGCTACTTTGTTCATGGTAAGTGATGCACCAGTTCTGCAAGGATTCAATAGCTACCCATTAGTGCGTGATTTGGTGCTGAATTGCTTATTCACAGGGTTTATATATTCTCGCAGTTTTATTTAATGTTTAACCCATTTTCATGGCAATGGGAAGAAATTATCCAGTGCAGTGAAGTTAGAGGGGGCATACCAGGGATGGAAATGACCCATGACCGCCTCTGTAGTCACATTTCAAGAGCCTTGGGGTTGTCTGGTCGCTATGTCATGGGGCTGGCCCAGGAATGATTCTTAGTTTCTGTCCACAATCCCTGGATTGGCAGGGCTTGGGAATGTGGCATAGGCAGAATGCTCAGCTGGAAGAGAAGGAAATACCTCCCATCGTCAGCCGTTAGCAGCCGGCCGGGCTCTGTGCAGTCATCTGATACAAAGATAGCTCCTGGGCTGTGCACTCCTGAGGCCCAACTGTGAAGCAGAGAACAAGTGAAAGGGAAATTTTACCAGGGGAGCATTGAAACGAGGCATGGGCCCTGGTTAGAGTCACTAGCGTGGAACCAGAACCAAGAGGAGAAGCTGGAGTTAGAGTCAGGGGTAGGGTACAGGAGCCGCGCAGGAACCAGGAACAGATGGTCATCTGGAATAAGGAGAATAGGAACCAAGAACAGGCTGGAAGGTAGGAACCAGGAGTCAGGGACATAGGCAGCGTGTGTAGTAGCAGCCAAACAGGAATTCCTCTAGGCACCTCAGACCACTTTCTATGCCTCCTTCTGGCTTAAGTAGCACATCTGAGCCAACAAGTGGGGCTGGACATAAATATCTCCCCCAATCAGGATTTTTGTGGCAGGGCCCTTACTAGAGTTTCACTAATCTCCTTTTCCAATCATTAAAGTGAGCTGCTGGATGGTGACTGTGATGTGAGATCCATGATCCTTCTGTGCCCCTGGGGTAAAAGAGGATGTTAGAAACTGCTGGGCCTTGATCTAAATGGAGATGTGCTGACTTGAGAGTCACAACCTCTCTTGAAAACACAGGTCTTCTAGCACGCTTTGACCAGGTCCCTCTGACCCAAGGCTATTCATCAAATTAAGCTTTCTTGGGATAAAAGGAAGCTCAGTAACTGGTTAACAGGAAACAAGGGGCAGGAATAAATGGTCAGTTTTCACAGCAAAGAGGTAAATAGCAGGGTCTCCCAAGGATCTATACTTGAAACATAAGGCCTGGGGGCTGAATGCAGCTCCTGGCTTGTCTGGATTGGCCCCCAAGACTTGGAGTTCCTCCCTCAGCATTGGGGAACCTGCATTGGCAGTCCAGGCTCTGGTGTGTGAGGGGAATGTGGGGAGTCTCTCTCTCTCTCTCTGTGGGTAAGTCTACACTAGCCCCCTAGATTGATCTAGGGAGGCTAATGAGGGCAACTGAAATTGCAAATCAAGCCCGGGATTTAAATATCCTGCGCTTGATTTGCATGTTCCCAACCGGTCGCCATTTTAGAAACTGACCAGCCCAAAGTAACTGCCCACGTCTACACGCAGCAGTGAAACGGGATTCCGATTTAAAGCCCCTAAATCAAATTAGCTGGTAAACCTCATTGTAGGAGAAATACCAGCTAATTAAAGTTAGGGCTTTAAATTGGAATCCAGGCTCAACTAAGTTTTTTCCTGCTATGTTCAGGATTTTTGGTGAAAGCATCTGGCAAGCCTAGCAGCCAGCCAGAAGCCTCTCACTCAAGTATGGAGGTTTAAGTGTATTTTTACATTTGCACATGCACACTAAAAAGAGGTACATTTTCTTAAACATGGTTCTCCATGCAGCCCTCCAAAGATGTAGTGGGTGCCACACACTACTTTGGGTGAAACTGGCCAGCTCGAGACCTTTTTACCTGCATCTCAATAATGGCTTGATCTCTCTCTCTCTCACACACACACCCCCTTTGAAAAGAGGCTGCTTTTTTCAGGACTTGTATCTTTGCAACCTGTCTCAAGTGATTCCAGAGTTGAGTCACTAACCTTACCCTAACCCTTCCTGTGGCACACCAGATTTTGAAGAGGACTTAGAAAGGTTGGCCATTAAACAGAAATTGTTGTTTACTTAATGATTATGGCACTGCTGCACGACTATAATACAGGGATCACCTTAAAACCAGCTTCCTAAATATCTGCACTAGATCTGGGACCCTCTCCCACCCGTTTAACAAATATCGGAAGGGCAGTTGATTCCCCGGTTGAGAACAGTTGGGCTGGGGGATTTGGACACATCTCCATTAAATTTCAATAGGTGTCGAACACTCCTGGATACCTTTGGAAAAAAAGCTCAGCCTTCACATAGTGCTTTTTCCTCACAAGCTGATGTCAAACATTTGCCGATTGAGCTGTCTCAGGAGACTTTAATATTGGAAGATTTGAGTGCCAGCCATTTTCAGACAAAATGTCATGCACCACATTAGTTAATCTTTGAGCAATGCTGAGGGAAAAAAAAATGTAATTTCTCCTTGGCTGTGTCTACATCGGCATCCCTTTCCGGAAAAGGGATGCTAATGAGACACTTCGGAATTGCAAATCTGCGGGAGATTTAAATTTCCCCCGCAGCATTTGCATTTATATGGCTGCCGCCTTTTTCCGGCTCGGGGTTTTTGCCGGAGAAAAGCACCAGTCTAGACGCGATTTTCTGGAAAATAAGCCCTTTTCCGGAAGATCCCTTATTCCTACTTTCAAGGGCACTAGACACCTAAGGGTGGAATAAGGGATCAAGTAGGAGTAAGGGATCTTCCGGAAAAGGGCTTATTTTCCGGAAAATCGCTTCTAGACTGGCGCTTTTCTCCGGCAAAAACCCCGAGCCGGAAAAAAGCTGCAGCCATGTAAATGCAAATGCCGCGGGGGAAATTTAAATCTCCCGCGGATTTGCAATTCCGAAGTGTCTCATTAGCATCCCTTTTCCGGAAAGGGATGCCAAAGTAGACACAGCCATCGTGTAAAAATTAATAGGTTGGTGCTTGTTGAAAAAAGCCCTTTAAATTCAAAATGTTGACGGCATTCTTTGTGAAAATATCCACAGAAAAAAAATGCAACTTTTAGTAAACATTTCATTTCTAGCTCTGTTAATATGGCTGTCAGTCTGAAAACCATTTTGGAGCTGGTCTCCCTTGAACAGCTGTTGGTTAGAGGAGTTTGGTAAAGGACGTTTGTGACTTATAGGATGATGAGCTATTCTTGCCATGCTGGGTCTTGTTACTTTGTTTTTATTATTACAGCCAATTAATAGTTGGCTGTTTTCTGACTAGCATCCTATTGCATCTAGCAGATATTTTGTAATTGAAAATACATCTCATTTGATGAGACATTTAAAACTGTATGACATTTCCAGTCTGTTGATACTATCCCTTTGCACTGGTTGCTAGAGACTCACATTTCAGATGAAGGGAAGGAAGGTGTAATACAAGAATCTCATTCGCTTGAGGTGGTGTGGGGGGTTGCAAATGGCCAACTCTCTCCACTGCGGAAGAGACCCAAAGGTAACCAAAGTCAGCTGCTTCCATTGCAGCTGGTCCAGTAAGAAAAGATGAAGAGGAAAAAGGCTGAATTAGTTGGAAATTTGGATTTCCCTCAGATTACACTCTTGCACCTCCCAGTGCTTGGTCTGAGCACAACTTGTAATCCAAGCACCTTTTAATGGAAAATCCATAAACACTGGAAGGCTGTTGAATGTTTGTTCTCCTCCCCTTCTCCTGTCTTTGGTTAGGTGAGGTGGAGCCATTTCCAAATGCTTGATTGAGCTAGTCTGGAAGCGGCCCACCTTCCGTCTGTGACCAATCTCACAATTTATTACAAACCCGTCTCTTTCTTGTTTGTTTCTCCTCTCTTCTACCATTTTCCTTAACAAGGCTAGGACAGAGTTAATGAAGTCATGCTACAAATCCATGTGATCCACTATCTGTCTTTTCTTTTACCGGGGTATTTCTTTTCTATCCTTACTCTTGCTCCCCCACCCCAGTTGTCTCTCTCATCTCTATTCTTCTGCATTTGCTGCCTCTATTCCATGGACATACAGAATCCTGAACCCCAGACCTTCCCAGCAGACGCATTCATCTGAAGAATTGGGTTTTGCCCATGAATTGAGTTTTGCCATGAAAGCTCATGATACTATATACAGGAGGCCCCCGACTGTGACCGCCCGACTTCTGACTCCCACACTTACAACCATTTTGTAAGTGCGGAAAGGGCCGAAAACCCCGACTTATGTCCTTGGCCCGCATTTACAACAGGCGCATGGCACCTGTCGTAAATGATGGTTCGAATTATGACACCCTGACTTGCAACGCTTCCCCAGGAACAGATCGCATTACAAGTTGGGGGCCTCCTGTGTATATTTTTTGTTAGTCTCCAAGGTGCCACAGTACTACTTGTTTTTAAAGTTACAGACTAACATGGCTACCTCTCAGACTATATAATAACCTGACACATTATTCTTTGATTCTCTATTGCTGGCTTATCCACATAAAGCCATTGAGCCTCTTGGAGAAGAAACAACTCCGGGCACCTGTTCTAAAGTATCCTCACATCCCTTTAAAAGTGTGCATGAGATGGTTGTAGTATAAAAAGCGAGAACTAGATCTTTGCTAAATTTCCCTATGCCCGTAATATGTTTAGCTCACTAATGCCATCCTCTTGTTCCTTGAATTAGTCTTGATGCCCTCATCTGTTCTTTTCTCCTCCTCCATTCCCCACATTTCATCCTTCTCCCATCTATTTAGCTGTGAGCTCTCCTGCTCCTCTCTGTCTACCAATTTCATTCTGGGGATGCACCAGCTATCTGAGCTATACATCATTGGCTGGGCAGAGTACAAGATGACACTCCCTAGTGCAGAGGCAGCAGCTCCACCTGTTCGAGTTGTTCTTACAGTGTGCTAAAGCAGACACGCAGTACATACCTCTCGTGGGTGGATTTAATTGCTAAGGAGCTCCTATTCCCCTTGTATCAGGCCATCACAATATAATTTGCAGCCACTGGCCTGCTGACATGCATCTGACAAAGTGGGTCTTTGCCCACGAAAGCTTATGCTCCAACACTTTGGTTAGTCTATAAAGTGCCACAGGACTCCTTGCCACTTTTGGCCTGCTGGGGCACTCCGATTTCCATATTGTCACTGGTTTCATTTATGCATGAAAACTTCTAGCGAAGTTAACAAATCTGTACAAAACAGAATGGAACAGACTTTCAGTGTATGTAGGTCTGTGGGCTGAGGGTGAGAGAAGGGAGCTGAAATTATTTTGGAGCCCATCATGTGTGACTGGCAAGACCAACTAGTAATTAGCACCTGCTGCAACACATGGTGACATTTCTCATCAGATGGACTAGTGCAGAGTGATTAACATATGGGCAATTCATTCCTACACCAATATCTGGGATTTTTCCAGGGTGTTTTTTTTCAAAGGGAAACTTGTTTTATTTTCTCATATCAATTCCATTCTGGCTTCATTTGGTTTCTGCAAGCAGCCATAAAAAACGTTGGCAGGTTATACTGGTTTAATCCCTGAAATATGCCATCTGCTTCCTTCCAGTTATAATTCCGCTAGCAGTAAGTGGAGCTCATGTTTAAATTCCCAGGTCCATCTTATTCCCAGGTTGGAGTTTAAGTCTGGCTAAACAAGGCTGGAGTTTAGAGGTGTTGAAGTCTTTGCTAATTGTTCTCACAACATTGGGACTCCAGCTGGGCTGGGAAAAGTTTCCTTCTAGTTTTGGCACCACTTAGAAATAAAACTCTACAGAGTTGTGCATATTTGTCGTCTCAGATCTGTTCTCCTCCACCCTGAAATTCAAAAGGGGTTAGATCTGAAAGACTGGAGTTTCATTTCTTCCTAACTGATCTGCAGAGTTGGTCGTCTAATAAAGGCAGAGCAGAATTATCTTTAGTGTGATTCTGGTTACTTTGAGACATGACATCTACAGAATGGCCACCTGGGTCATATATTAAAAGTTTCTTTTTTGCATAAAAAGGGATAGGATTTTAAGAGCACTGAACGTTGGCCTAATTCTGTTCCCACTCAATTCACACAGGGATTTTATCACAGGGAGTAGAGTTAAGACAGCACCTTCCCTGTGACCGTTTAATCTGATGTATTCATAAATCTCCGCCCACAAGTCCCTGACTGCGGTGGGTTAATGTGGGTTAGTTATTCCTACTAAAGCTCATTCTTGCTATGTCACTGCCTCTTTCTAGGTCTGCTGATGTTTGCTATCACACACATCCTGTATTCCTCAGCATTTGGGATGAAGCCTTTGGACCTGAAAGCCGGCTTGGTGATGACCCTTGTCTCCAGCTTCTGCTACACCTTTCTGTACGCCTACCTCTCAGGCCCATTCACCTACCTGGTAGCTGTCTACATTGCTTTGATCGGCTTCATGGGGTGGCGCGCCATTGCTGGCGTACAGCTGTGCAACGACCTCTGGACTTGGACCAAGCTTTCGGCCTGTATCGGCGCAGTGCTTTTCATGGTGTCCGATCTGACCATTGCAGTTAACAAGTTCTGCTTTCCAGTGCCCTACTCACGCGCCATTATCATGGCCACTTACTATGCAGCCCAGATGCTCATTGCACTCTCTGCCGTGGAGAGCAGGGATGAAGACGACTTCAGAAAGAGGAATTAGATGGAATGCCAGCAGCCTTGTGAACTGCGCGGATTATAACTGGGGTGCTGTAGCAGCATTAGTCGCTGAGGGGGATTCTCCGTCTCTCAAGGTGCATTGGTGATAGAGATTTTGCTTCGTTGAAGCATTCTTTGTTTTTGTTTTTAAATCTGACTCTCCTTGAATGTAGTTTACGTCAGTGTGGAGACCACATTGGAAAATTTAGACTGAACCTACAGTAGCTTTGACCTTTTCCTCTTGGAAGCTTCAGGAGTCCTCTCTAATGCCACATTGTATTTTTTAATCCTGAAGCTGGCTCTGAATGTTATGGAAGGAGAAGGCTAATTTAAAGAGACTAAATAGGCTCAGAGGCTTGCCTTCTACCCTGGACACCCCTGTCCACATCCCAGCTAAGGCTGACAGGGAGGGGACAGTGAGTTTAGGTGGTGATTACACTAGACCCCATTTACGGACATTACAAAGCCACTACACAGGGCGAAGCAGTCAACAGCCTCTGCTCAAAGAAAGACAATGAGTAGCATGCCAAGAGGATAGGTCATGCAGGTGAGGGCTAAGGGACATTAGTAAGAATTTGGTGGCATGAAAAACTTGTACTGTATCTGGTTCTTCTAACCAGGGCTTTTTTTTGTGAATTCCAAAATTCATGCAACTTCCTATTTAAATGTCCCATGTGAATGCTGCCAAGTAGGTACAATAGTAGGCGACACACTTGCAGCAGCAACAATAGAATGTAATAACCTTCTGAAACAGTCGAGAAAATGGAAAATGAAAGGCATTCTCTACACAGGATGGCTTATGAGGAAAAGAAATATGCCTGTAAGTTAAAGCTAATGAGCAGGTTTCGCATGCAACTTTCAGCATTTGCTATCTTGGCCTAAGGTACTCACGTGGCGGTGTGCTAAGACAGATGATGGAACAATGGGTCTGTCTTTCAACATCAGACCTCACCCCCTTGTCACCGGTAGCTTCTCTGCTGAATTAATGAGCCTCCTGTGTTTTATCTGTAGGTGCTGAGAGCTCTTGAATCAGTGACAATGCTGGGGCCAACCCCAAGGGATGCCAAACCAAAAGCAAAGTATTAAAACACAAAGCATCTATAGCAATGCACACTGGGATATGGCATTCTGTGACCACTGTGAAATTACTCCAGACCCAAGTTCATAGATGACTCATTAGTGTTAATAGGCAATTGTTATTACTGTGAGCATGGCATATTTTCAGGGAAACCTATTTATTCAGTAAGGCCAGTAAGCTTCTCTATATTGGCGTATGTCTACATACTTGACTCTATACATACATGTACAGTAGTATGTCATCTGTAGCCACCATAGGCAACCTGAGCCAGGATATGCTGTGTTTTACACCACTGCTTTGGAGAGATGATTCCTTAGTGGAATGAAGTTTATTTTTCTGGGTTCACATTCTGTCCGCATTCTGGGAAGTGGGAGACTGGAATCTGACACTTTAAGCATTTATTGCTCAGCATTTTCAGCTGCAAATAAGGGAGAATACTCCAATAATGTTTAATACACCTCTTGCACCGGGTACCGATTTCGTCTGTTTGCAGGTAAGGGAAAATGCTAAGCCATCTACGTAGAACAAGTGTCTGTTTTTTGTCAGTCAGTGGCAACGAACCAAGCTTATGCCTATTGCCTTTGCAAAGCCACTTTGGGGCAAAACTATCTGAAAAGAACAATTCTGTACATGCAAACCAGCTCGCCCTTATCTCTCTGAACGTCCTGCAGCCTATAATAAAATCAGAGCCATTAGAGATGGGGAGAACTTATTCCCTATCAATCCAAAATGTTTGGCCAGCTTGTCCTTCCCTTTCCCAAAGCAAGAGTATATCTTACAGTCTAAAGGATTCTAGTGAGGTATTTTTAATTTCACTAATATAATTTTACTTTCCAATATTACCTTCACACTGTTTTTAAATGTACTGTGGGTTGCTCACAAGTGCTGAACTGTTGCTGCTCCTTATTTTGCTTTGAAGCATGACAAATGGACTAAGGCATTTCCTGTGGATATGCATTTAGAATGCACCTATGGGGCTTTTCTCTCCTCTCTCAAATCGGATGGTATCCAGTTAATATTTATTGAGTGGATTTTCCTCCCACTTCTCAGGCAAGTACTCATGTGAGCCCTCCCTCTGCTTTGAAGGGGACCACGCAGGTGAATAGCTGTTCTTAAATGTGAGCAAAGAGTTGACGAGTGGGTCCTGTCACAGGGTGTTCTACTCACCATGGGGATGTCACCTTCTCCTGGTGGTTCTACCAGACCAGCAGCGCTTTCTGCGGTTGCTCACCACCTCTCTGGCGACAGCCTCTTTCCATTTCCAGGAGCAGCTGCTTTCTTTTTGTGATTCAGCCTTCCAGGCAGGTCACTGAGCCTTCCACAGGCAGCATCAGGCAGTCCTACCCCTCACTGCCCTGACATCTCCTCTCCAGTTGTCTTTGTGTTCACTGCCCTTTGCAACAGCACTCTGCAGTGGTTGGAGAGGAACCCAGGCCCATCTTCTACTCAGGGTTCCACGCCAGGGCTCTGTAGTGAACTGTTAAGGCTTGGCTTTGTATCCCGGACTCCTCCCTACTGTGAGCCTTCTCTGCATTGGGAAGTGGGACAGCAGCTTCCTCCCTGCTGCCTTCTTACCCTCCCGCCAGCCTCCTGGTTTCATAGACGCTCTGGTCATCCCTTCAGAGGTGAGCTTCTTTCTAATTAGCTTCCTCCAGTCTAAATCTCCTGTTTGCAGCCTAATTTTCTGATTGGCCCCACCTGGCCTATTTCAGGACTTAGTGTAGGGAGTCTGTATACCTCAGCACAGGCCCTAGGCAGAGAGTTTCAGTTTTTGCATCTGGGATTCCAGCCCCCGGGCCTGAGGTTTCCCCTGATATAAGGAAACTTGCCCTTTTTGCATCTGGGATTCCAGCCCCTGGGCCTGAGGTTTCCCCTGATATAAGGAAACTTGCCCCTTGTTACAATCTAGCTCACAGAGTAGCCCTGAATCCACAGGAGGAAGGCATTAGTTTACATCAGGCATGGGCAATAATATTTGATCGGGAGGCCACTCCAAGATTTTGGAAAGTGGTCTAGGGCTGCAATTTTCTGTGGAGGGGAATGCAGGGTCTGGGATGGAGATTGGGTGCAGAAGGGCACATGGGGTAAGAGACTGGGTGCAGGAGAGGATTCTGGCCTAGGGGAGGGGCTCTAAGAAGAGGTGCAAAGTCTGGGAGGGAGTTGTGACCTGGGGAAGAGAGTTTGTCTGGTGACCTAGGGGAGGGAATTGGGGGGCAGGGGTGCCAGAGGTAGGCTCAGGCTGGGAGGTGCTTACCTAAGCTGGCAGGCTGGACTCCATCCCTGCAGCAGCCCCAGGTCACTTGAAACTGCAAGCTTCTTCCCTCCATGTGGCTCTCAGCTCCAAGAAGGGGAAGAGGCTTGTACTGCCCCCAGGGCAATCTCTCAGCTCCTATTGGCTCCAATAGGAGCTGAGAGATTGGCTGGGATCAATTCCTATTGGCCAGCTGTTTCCAGCCTATAGGAGCTAAGGATTGGGCTGGGTGATCACAGGAAGCCTCCCCTTCCCTGCAGAGGAGAGAGCCGCACAGACTGCACAGCTGTGTGTGTGCCTGAGGGTCTGTGGGCTGGAGCCGGTGGCTTGGTGGGCAAGATCCACCCCCCGGGCCATATTTTGCCCAGCGCTGGTCTATGGCTGTGTCTACACTGGCGGCTTCTTACGCAAGAATATCTTGTGCAAGGGTTCTTGTGCAAGAACACGTCCATACTGCCATGTGCGAGCTGTGCTTTTGCACAAGGGCATCCATGGCAGTGTGGACACTCTCTTGCGCAAGAAAGCTCTGATAGCTGTTTTAGCCATCGGGCTTTCTTGCACAAGAAACACCTGCCGTGCGTTGTGCGTCCATACTGCCCTCGTGCGCAAGAGAGCTTACACCTGTTAGAAAAGGGTGTAGCTCTTTTGCAAGAAGCCCTCTCTTACCGCTCCGTACTGTAAATCTTCTTGCGCAAGAGCGGATGAGCAGTGTGGACGCTCTGCAGATTCTTGCGCAAGGACGGCCGTTCTTGTGCAAGAATCCACCAATGTAGACATACCCTACTTGAGCAACTAGCAGTATTAGTAGCAGTGTGAGATTGCACCGTGCTTTCTTTATTGATGTCATTTTCAGTCCCCTCTGTAGCCCTACATAATGGGATTCAGTATGCTGACCAGACATTTCAGCCCTCAGTAGTACCATTTGGGCTCCTAACTTCCATTGAGTTCAATGGGAATTGGGAACCAAAATACCTTTGAGGACTGAGGACCTTCTTTCCAAGGACTCTACATATTTTAGAAAATGTAAGTACCATCGCAAAAGGCTGGGTTAACAATAGGGACCCTCCAGAAGCACCTGCTGCATCACAAACATATATCAGCAAGGTTAGCTGCATTCGGCGGGGGGGAGAGGGGAAAGCATCGTAGATAGCACAAGCTCTGGTAATATCCTCTCTAATGCTCTTGCCAGTAATCCTCCACTCAAGGGATTGCTCTGCCAGAGTCACCAGCTCTCGGAGGCATGGGCCATCTCCAGTCATCAGTTTTGCTCATCTCATGGCCCCCAGCTTGGCCCCCCGTGTGGCTTCGCAGATGCACCTGCTGTTACACAGGCCTCTTGTTTGCAAAGCTTCTCCTGTCATGCAGCCAGCTAGAGAAAATGTGCCTGTTCGGTGCTGCAGCTGCCTGCTGGGGCCAGTGCTAGCAGCAGAGGAGTGATTGGCTAATTTAAGCCTTATTTAAATATCCCGCAGACTGTCAATTTGGCATATGGATTCCTCACTTATCCTCTCCAAGGATTTTTTCTCCCTCTTGTAAGAAAGACTGAGAGGGTAAGTAAAGGAGTTAATGGAAACCGGCATTTAATATTATAATCTCCCCCTTTAAGTTAGTAGGGTATCCGCTTCTTCACCACTACAAAGGCGTATTCTTCAGTTTCCTGAAGAAATCTTAATTATTTTTTTGTAATTTTCTTTTCTTAGGGCTGTGATGCGGATGATGATAGCAAAGGGTTCAGTAGGGGTTTAATAGTCACTTTGACAGTCAGGAGTTACGGTCATCTGAGACAAGACACCGAAAAGGTACTGCTCCTGTTGTGCGCTGGAGGACTCTGAGGGAGTTGAAGGATGCCTGGGGTGTCCCAGGCCCAGGCTGTTACAGAGCATCACCTTGCTCTCCCTTCTGTGTTCCTCTCCACATCTCTTTAAACCACAGCACGTGAACACAACCCTTTTCCAAGCAAGCAAAAGTCTCTCAGGGACGAAGCCAGCTGCTATGGCGGAGGTAGGCAACCTGCGGCTCATCAGGTTTCTATTTGTAGCCCGCAAGACATTTTGTTTTCCTACCTGTATTACTAAAGTGATATGCATGGGGACTGAGGTGCATGCGGATTGCACACAATGTTGCCTGAAAGAGCCGTGCACTCCCTCTGCATCCAGTCAAAGTGCTGCTAGCGTTTGACCGGCACACTACACAAATTCTAGGTACACAAAACAGTTAGCAAAACTACCGTCTGCCGGGAGACCATCTTGGTTATAACAATCTGGTGGCCCCCACGGAGAAGAGGACCTCTCATGTGGTCCACTCACTAGCCTGGATTGTCTATGGCTGTGTTATGGACACAGATTTGACACAGCCAGCTCTAATTCTTCTGATTAAGCCTGTGAAACAATGAACAGTTGCTGATGGGGGGTGGATGTACCACCAATGAAAACAATCTGGGATTTGAAAGGCATTGGGAGAGCACATAAATAGCCACCTGATTCTTTTCCAGTTCCTTGCTTTCCCATTCTGTCTCTTGCCTTTTAAATGTGAAGATATTGTTCTACTTCCCTGCCTTCCTCTCCAAACCCATACATAGACTTTCCCATTAGAAGCAAAATCTTTAAGGAGCATCATCTGTTTTTGGGCATGAGAATGTTGCAGGAAGGGGAGTAAAAGCAGTTTACAGCACATTGGGAGCCTGATCCCAGCAATATTAACTCCTAAGTACAAGAGATACCCAGAACAGGTTGAACCTCTCTAGTCTGGCACCCTTAGGACCTGACCAGCGCCAAACCTGAGAATTTGCTGGACCACAGAAGGTCAATGTTGTCTAGCAGCATTATCAACACTTCCACTGCTGCTTAGGCTCTTAGAGGTAAATCAGAGCTAAATAACAGCACAGAACACGGAGAGCCAGGACTGGTGGCTGCAAAGAAACATTATGGGGTCATGGGAAACTTGGCCACACCCGTGATAATGAAATTCATGCCAAACCATGGATGTTGCTGGAGAAGCGAGTGCTTGACTAGAAAGAGTCAATCTGTAGTTACACACTGGGCACCGGGGTAGTCGCTAAGTGGCCTACTGGCAAAATCCAGTGCCAGAAACTTTTGAACAGTCCCTAAATCTTTTTTTTACTCTGGCATTTGTACCTTGACATTCTGGACCTTGGTTAAGAAATTTGGTCCTTGAAAAAAAAAAGTTGACTACATTACACTCAAAATCCCTTCTGGAAATCTTATGTATTGTTAACTGAGGTTTCACTACAAACCACGTCATCCAATACTGTATTAACCATTAGGTGCCAGCAGATCCATTAGGTCCTTATTCAGGGGGACTAAGAATGTGCTGAGTATACTTGACCTGCCTATATTTTACCATACCCCCCCCCTTGAAGCCAGTTGGCCTGATTTTCACCTCTGACCATTTTACACTCTTGTAACTCCATTAGCTAGGCTCGACCATACGAATTCCACTGAAGTCAGTGGCATTACACTGATGATAAACTGGTGTGTTGAGGGCACTTCAGCAGAACCACTCTGGATTTCCACCAGTGAGAGATGAGAAGTGGGTCAAATGAGCCCTTAGGATTTAAAATATAGTTAGAAGGACTTGAAGGCTTTCACTCCCTGTCCCTTTCTAACTTGGTTCTTTATTGGCCTTAGAGGGGAAGGTAGGCAAAACAGCAGATATAAAGTCCCGTGGCAGATGTCTTCTTCTCTATTTTGGGTGCATGGGCATTGCAAATTGCTTGGGTTTGGCAGAGAAAGCTGCTCTTTTATGTGGTGAGGCAGCAGCATTTAGTAGTCTGGTCTGAGCCCAGGACAAGATGTCTACAACTTCTAAGTTCTGAGCTTGGCTTTGACACCAACTCGTTTTGTGGCCCTAGTAAGTAAGCTGGTATGAATTAAAGTCAGTAGAGATTTGCTAGTTTACAGCAGCTGAGAATCTAATCCTGCCCTGGTCTACACTAGGGAGTTATTTCAAAATAACTCCCCTTATTTTGAAATAACAAGCAGAGTGCCCACACTACCAAGCCCCTGATTTCGAAATAAGGGGCTGGTTATTTCAAAATAATAACTCCTGCTTTCCATGAGGAATAAAGCTTATTTCAAAATAGCTATTTTTGAAATAGTGGGTGTGTGGACTTTTCATTGCTGCTATTTCGAAATAACTACTCCCTGGGGTCATTCAAAGTAATTACTCCCCAGTGCTACTTGGGCCTCTAGGTAGCATGTCCACATTAAGGGTACAGAGAAGAGCGACAAGAATTGGAAAGGGTACAGAGAAGAGTGACAAGAATGATTAAAGGTCTAGAGAATATGACCTATGAAGCCAGGCTTCATGAACTGGGCTTGTTTAGTTTGGAAAAAAGAAGATTAAGGGGGGACATGATAGCAGTTTTCAAATATCTAAAAGGGTGTCACAAGGAGGAAGGAGAAAATTTGTTCCTCTTGGTTTCTGAGGACAGGACAAGGAGGAATGGGCTTAAAGTGCAGCAAGGGAGGTTTAGATTGGATATCAGGAAAAAATTCCTAACTGTCAGGGTGGTCAAATATTGGAATAAATTGCCAAGGGAGGTGGTGGAATCTCCCTCTCTGGAGATATTTAAGAACAGGTTAGATAGACATCTGTCAGGGATGGTGTAGACGGAGCTTGGTCCTGCCTTGAGGGCAGGGGGCTGGACTCGATGACCTCTCGAGGTCCCTTCCAGTCCTATGATTCTATTATGGGAGCCTGCCTCTGACTAATTTCGAGGCTTTCCCATAGTGTGGACATGCTATTTCAAAATTGTTATTTCGGGAGTTATTATTTTGAAATAATTTCCTAGTGTACACATGCCCGTTGTGTGTCTGTCTTTTTTTTTTGCCCCCTCCCCCCATTTGTGAAATGCTTACCTACCTTGCAGAGGTGGTGTGAGGATTAGCGCATATTTGCACACACTAAGGTGTACAGCGCTAGATAAGTGCTAAGTATTATTATACTATATTATTCAGAATAAAAATACTTAGAAACCTTTAGAAATTCACTTGAAAAAAATGACAAATGCCTTTTAACCTTTCAGTTAGATTTCTGCCTCATAGGGGCAGCAAATGCAAAATAATCATTTGCACAATCTATTAGGGATAAGCCTAACCGAAAACCCTGGCTCCAGACACATCCAAACTTAAATGGAAGGGGTTTTTACAAGTCTGAACTCAGACCCCAAAGTTGAAAATGGTTCTTAGTTTTTCTACAAGTCAGATGCAAAAACACCGCATCCAAATTTTGCAACTCAGGCTCCTCTCTCAATAAGCTATCTAGAATAAGCCTGATCCAGCCAAAACAAAACGTTCTAATTCAGGGGTTCTCAAACTGGGGGTTAACCTTTAGGGGGTTGTGAGGTTATTACATGGGGGAGGATCACAAGCTGTCAGCCTCCACCCCAAAGTCTGCTTCACTGCCACCATTTATAATAGTGTTAAATATAAGAAAGTTATTTTAATTGATAAGTGAGTTGTCACAGTCAGAGGCTTGCTGTGGAAATGGGTTGCCAGTACAGATATTTGAGAACCACTGTTCTAATTCTAGCTTGATTATTGCTGAACTCATTGAAGTTGAAAATGCTGTGGTTCTGGTCACTTTTTCTCATGCAGATTTACTAGATTTTTAAGGCACAAGTTACAAAAGGGTTATTTAATTTTCTTTGCTCACAAATATTAGTGACTTTAAAGCCAGTGGAGAGGGGATGTTCATTTTGAAATTAATTCCTGTCCCACTATGTGTAGGATGTGTATGATTTCCCAGATAAGAATGTGTTTGTGTGAACAGACACTGGATTCCGAACAAACTTCTGAACAGAATTATGACTCTAAAATATTATCGGCTCTCTCCAATGGTTAAATTGGCATAATTCTATTGATTTCAAATCTGGTCCCCAAATGGTAAATTATTTTTCCAATAGCACCCACAATGTGCTAAGTGCTGTACAAACACAAAGGAAAGATGAAGAACTTACACTTTACAAATGGGCATATACCTGTGAAATGGACCATAATTCTCAAGCAGTAAAAAAATACATTATTATGAACTCAGAGGCAAATACAATGCAAATTTTTATTGTTTCTTTAAATGTTGGATAGATGCTCCTTTTCTTAGTTTGGAGGATGTTTCGTTGACAATGCATTTTTTTCCTTTTAATGTAAAAAATATGTCTGTATACCTATCGATAGACTAAAATACACAAGAAGTGGCCAGTTGGCTGAAATGCCAACATTTTTAGTGGCTTGTATTATTTCTGTGGTGACACTAAATTGTTGTAGAAACAAGCTCATTGAAAGAAAAGGTGGAGGGAGTACAGGTTTGATGTACTGTGGCTAGTGTTAATTTGCTACTTCAGAAGTCTTGCCTCTAGCGGTAAAAGAGGGGATTTAGGGCCTGCTTTTGCTCCAATGATACATCGCTGGGAGCAGGATTAGGGCCTGTGTTATATTCCTACTGGCAGTAAAATAGAACATCAGAAAATTTAGCACCAATAAAGAAATCACTATTCTGGCAATCTAATTTAAAAAACAAAAACCCTCCCATATTGATTTCTTTGTTGAATCAGGACAAATTAGAAATCCAGGGCCACAACCTGCAGTCCTTACTTGGGGCCGATGAAAGAATAGGCTCATTTCCCAGATAAGGCTGTTCATGGAATATGATGCTATTTGCTGTGAGTAAGCTTGGCAGAATCTCTCCCTGCAGGACAAAATCCCCTTGGGATAAGTGGTAGTTTTGTCTGGGTAAGGACTTCAGTGTCAGGCTACAAGTCCTCCTGCCCTGTTAATCTCAATGAACAGAGCTTCCTTAGTTCTGGTGCATTAAAGGCAAAGCATATTTAAAGATTTAATATATAAATCAAGGAGCTCCTCTCCTCCATTCAATCGCAGCACTTAGCCATGTTTTAAAGTTACTAGCACTTAATCTATTTTGCCATCAATTTAAAGGTCACCACATGCAGTACAGCCACTTGATACAATCTTTGATCCATTTTTATGTTAATTTTAACTATTATTCTGTATCTGTAATATATTTTTCCTCTAATTTCTTGTATGTGTAGTAATAATTAAAATATTAATTTACTTGATATTTTTACTGCATAGATTAAACTACTTTCTTCTTGTTTTCTCTTCCCATGAAAGTTTCATCTTGAAATACAGGTTCCACAGCAACACTGTGCTACTTCAGTTTAACTCCAGTGTAACATCTGTTGGTCGACCAGATTTTCAGCTAGTGTAAATTGTTGAAGTTTTGTCCAACAGAGCTGCGCCACTGAGCTCCAGCTGAGGAGGTCCAGCTGAGGATTTGGTCCCGTAGCTTTGCCACATTTGATGCAGTAAAATAGCCAGCTTGGCTTCATTAATATCAACCATCCTATTTTAATCACCCCTGGGACAACTTTTTTTTTTTTTTTTTGGTACAATGCAGCCCCAATTTGCAGTGATCTTTTGTAGACTTAAAGCATGCAGATCCCATTTAATTCCAGAGGACTACACAGATGCTTTAAAAGTTAAGCACATATAGAACGCTGCAGGATAAAGGCCCTACAGTCTCCCAACATAACCCAAGTGAAAAGTCCCGCCAGTTTGTGAAAAATAACACAAAGCTCTTCTTCAAATCTCTTTATAAGCAAAAGAAATCCTATTAGTACCCCCAACATCTTCCCTCCACTGTCACGCAGGAATATTGCTGCATTATTTCTAAAGTAGCTGTCAGACCCTTTAGCATCAGGAGAAGGCACCAGGACTTTTCATTTGCAAACTATTTGTTTTAAATATTTCCTGCCTTGCTGGGATAGTATGTCCCATTTTAGCCAAGTTCCCCTCTCCCTCACTAGCACACTCCAGGTGACATATGGAATGTAAAATACTCTACATCTGCAGTGAAAGTTGGAGCACATGACTAGTCAGCAGTGTGATTATCTCGCAACAGTTTCCTGGAAAGATTAATGCTAAACTGGAAGAATAGGCACAAAATCAATTCAGGCAGTGTATAGGTAATATAATTCTTAATCTGGCTTTAACCATACCACCAGAAGCAGCAGGTAGCTTCATATAATGAGATTAACATGCCAGTGACTGAACCCATCATGTTTATTAATTTTTAGGGCTTGATCACACGCACACAGAAGCCTACACATGAATCGTTTCATTGAAATCTGTGGGGCTCTTCCCACAAATAGAGTTATACATGGATTATGCTAGTTACAGAAACAGGCCTTCAGATAATAATCTTTCATTGAGTCCCATTTATCAGCTCAAGAGTGATAATGGAGCGAAATGAAGCCTTTCCACCATTTTCTATCGTGTGTCAGCTTCACGGCTGCGTTAATCTTTAAACCTTTGTGTTGTGCCTCAATAAATATTGTTTGTTTAATGCTACCTAACAAAAAGGTTAGATAGTAATAAACAAACAATTTCATATGCTAGATCTACACAGCAGCATTATTTCCAAAATCACGTAGTGAGCGTCTACACAACAAGCTGCCTGAGGCTATCTGATGTGTGTGCATAAAGGGACCCCCCTGTACAGTCGTGTCGGGCGCCTCTCTTTTGCCTGCCTCCCTGAGGGACAGCAAAGCTGTTCCACTGCCTGCTCTGGTTGCCCTTGCAGACACCACAGCACGTCTGCCATGGAGCCAGAGCTCTCCTGGCACAGAAGAATCTGGACCTGCAGCTCCCTGCAGGGCACCTCCTTTCCTCTCCCCAGGTGCTGCTCATGCAGCAGTTCCTCCAGCCCGCCCCTGCACACTGTACGCCACCAATTCTGGCGACTGGATACCAGTTCTGACTGGTGGGACCAGATTGTCATGGCCCGGTGGCTCCCGAACTTCCGCATGCAGCAGGCCACCTTCTTGGAGCATCGAGGGAGGGAGGAGGCAGGGCATGCTGCACCACCCCACGTAGCCCAGCCTCCTCTTTCCCCCGGTGCTCAAGAGGGTGGGCTGGGCTTGGCTGGGTCACGCTGGGCACCTTCCATCGGGGCTGGAGAGGCTGCAGCAAGCACGCACCCGCTCTCCTGCCTGTGGTTGGAAGGGGGGAGCACATGCATTGCACACCACCCTGCCTCACAGGGATGGGGAAAGGGCGGGGCCTAGCAGAAGGGGCAGGGCTGGAGGTGGGGTTAGGGGCTTGCCTCCCCCAGCCCTGCCTTCATCAACCATCTATGACAGGACACTCACATGCGACCTGCCATCCCACTCCAGAAGTGGGTCACCATTGCACTGTGGAAGCTCGCCATGCCGGACAGCTACCGCTCCATCAGGAACCAGTTCAGCATGGGGAGGTTGACTCTTAAAATCAGGAATAAGGGATCTTCCGGAAAAGGCTTTATTTTTCGAAAGATCCCGTCTAGACTGGCGCTTTTCTCCGGCAAAGCCCTGAGCCGGAAAAAAGCGGCAGGCATGTTCATGCAAATGACGCCGGGGATATTTAAATCCCCCGTGCCATTTGCAATTCCGACTTGTCTCATTAGCATCTCTTTTCCGGAAAAGGGTGCCAATGTAGACACAGCCTAGATGTTTAATCATTCTTGTTGCTCTTCTCTGGACCTTCTCCAATTTCTCCACATCTTTCTTGAAATGTGGTGCCCAGAACTGGACACAATACTCAAAATTGAAGGAATCCTTAAAGAGCATGGATTGTTAGAAGAAATCATCTCACTGGATACCATTTATCTTCACCCAGGTCTTTCCAGAGTGAGAGAGTTCATTACCAGTACCATCTCCAATACCACTGGAGGTCTTTCACCCAAAGGTGCAATCCCCAGTCTCATGGTGCCTTCCAGGTTCCTCTTTCATGAGGACCATCATGTCCTGGAGGAACTGGATTTTTCTCTACTGAGGGGTACAGGGAGTAGTATTTTCCCACCGGCACCTGTGTACCAACTGGTGCCAACATCCACTAGCCCTCCTGCAGCCTCAAAAAGGCTCCATCAGTACCAGCATGATTGCTGGATTGGCCCCTATTACCAATCTGAGCCCCGGGTACTGACTCCTTTAGCTCCACTGCTGAACATGGTAGAGGACACTTCTTATTCAGAGGTATCCATTCAAGGCTCCATCACCTACCATTCTTCTCTACATCCCTCAATGTGTTCCCTGAAGACAAGAACCCAGGAATCAGCTAATGGGTGGCCCATCAGCCATGGCAAGAACACCCTGGGAGCCCTACTCCTTTTACTTCCCAGTGGGCTTTCTGGCTCTCTTGGGTTTCCTAGGGGGTGCCAGATCTACAGACTGCCCTCACATAAGGGTGCCCATTAAAATTCTGGGCCACCAACACCTCAGGGCCCACCTCATGCGCCTCAAGTAGACCCACCGGAAGAACAGGTATTGAGAATACTTGAGGAGACATCCCCAGATGAGTCAGCAATGCCCCTTCTGCCAATCCACGCAAATTTCAAAGCCTTATCCTGTGTCCCACCTTCGTGTCTTCCCTAAAGTTTCATCAGAGGTCCACATCATTCAGGACATCCTTCTACTGGTCTTTTACCCCAAACCTCACTCTTTGAGAGAAGACACCATCCTCAATACTCTAGATATAAGAAGATCTCTGACTTTCTACCTATACAGGACTAAACCCTTCAGGAATTCCACAAGGCACTTTAATTCCTCCATGGAGAGGATGAGGGGCAACTTTATTTCCACCTAGATGAAACCTATAGATAGGTTTCAGGTATATTTTTGCATGCTATGAGGCCTCTGGAATACACCTCCCTCCTAAAGTTATTGTACATTCAACTGATAGGATAGACGTCTATAAAATCATGGCTGGTATGGAGAACGTAAATAAAGAAACATTTTTTACTTAGTCCCATCACATGAGAACTAGGAGTCTGTTACCCTGCCTTCCAAGTGACTAGGGGTCACTAAATGAAATGAGTAGCTAGCAGATTTAAAACAAACAAAAGGAAGAATTTCTTCACACAACACACAGTCAACCTGTGAAACGTGCCACAGGAAGTTGTGAAGACCAGGACTTTACCAGGGTTCAAAACAGAGCTTCGTACATTCATGGAGGATAGGTCCAATAATAACTATTAGTCAAGATAGGTAAGAACGGTGTCCCTAGCCTGTCTTTGTCAGAAGCTGGGAATGAGTGATAGGGGGTGGATCATTATTTCACATGCTCAAGGATTACCTCTTCTGTTCATTCCCTCTGGAGCACCCGGCAATGGCCACTTTCAAATGACAGGATACTGGCTAGATGGAACTTTGGTCTGACCCAGTATGGCCGTTCTTATGTTCTTAGGGCTCAACCCCTTTCTATAGCCCTCCTTAGAAAGATAAAACATAGATCTCTACTTAGGAGTGCATGGGTATGTGATATCCTCATGTGCTACACCCAGAGGGACAAAATGTCTTCAAGAACACCAGCCACTATGCAAGATAAATAACCTTTCTTTTTATGGTTAAACCTCTGGATTGGGCCTCAGAAGATCTGGGTGCTATTTCTAATTCTACTGCAGACTCTGTGACCTTGGGTGAATCACAGCCTCCCTGGGCCTTAAGTTCCCCATCTGTAACATGGGGACAATATTTCTTCCTTTCTTTGTTTTGTCTACTAGAGTTCACTTAGGGAAGGGGGCTCTCTCCTACTTTATGGCTGTCCAGTGTCTATCTAGCACAAGGGGTCTTTACATACTGCAGTAATAGTAACAATAACGAATATGGACATAACTCAGTTCTCCTCCCACTGATGTTAAAACAGAACTCTCACTGACTCTCATGGTGCAGAATCAGACAGAGAAAGATGAGACAGAACAGAAAGTGAAAGGCAGTTTTTGGCTCCTTTTAATTTTAAAGATACATTTTCATCCACTACTGGAAATATTACCATTCACACGCAGAGCATTTGGAAGCTGCCTATGCAGAAGAAAGTATCTAAACATCAGAACTGCCCTTCTACACCAAAGGCCCCACCTTTTAGCATTTGGTTTCATTAGTCGTTATAGAAGTTACAGTTTTGAGCCACACATATCTAAGTCAAACTACACAGAAATGTGTGAATTATTCCACATGCTGGATTGGACGAATTTGGATCTGGGGCCGCTGATTACATGATGTGCTTTGACTTTTGAAGACTTTCAGTCACTGAGTCCAGGAGGCTTTTATCATCTTTGTCTTTAAGAAAAGAGAGATAAAAGGAGAGAGGGGACATCATTATAACCATCTACAACTCATTAAGCATGTATTACTTACTATGGGGCTTTTGGAAAGCGTGGATAGATTCCCTGGTTAAAAACACCCCACTACATAAATGCAAAATAATACTTTATTGTGAGTTTTGTGGGCTGCAAGGTGAGTTCCAATTTGCATGCAAACCTCTCTTTTCTCGTTGCCCATAATAGTCTTTTCTAAGCATTGTCTCAACCCAAAGCTATCTCCCCACCCCACAAAGTTTGAACAAAATGAGTCCAGCCATTTCTGTGTTGTGAAAACTAGAAAGATTTGCCCATAGACTCCAATAGATTTTGCATTAACATAACACAGGAATGGCTTAAGCTGTAAATTCAAACTCTGCTGGTTTTCTAACACTTAGCAATTAAAGAGAAACCGTTTATGTCTTAAGGATGTTAGCTTAGTAGTTGTGGGGAGCCAGACCCATCACTCGTCAGCACAGGCATTATACACCGAGGGTCTACTACATACATTATTTAAGATGTGTGTTCACACATGCACTTGAAAATTTTCCAGTCTTCTTGGGTGCCAGCCTTATCCTACAATGATCTGGACTGTTAGAAGCACACAGGTAAAGGCAACTGAACTCCACAAGTGAAACCTACCAGCGCAAGATCTTGTCTGAGCTCGACTCATCACTCAAACTAAGCTGTTGAAACTGTGGTGAGCTCTTTGGGCTGGAGTAAACTCTGAAAAATAGGACAAGCTCCCAAGCCACACCGAACTGCCAAGTGGAAGGAAGCCCCTCTGCTCTCTTACACTCTCAGGTTAGGTGCACTCCTGAGTTACATGAACACCTGCACAATACACACACAAACTGATAATTCTGGACGGACGGACGGACGGACACACACACACACACACACACCCCTACCTGCAAACTGATAATCCTGGACACACACACACAACTGCAATTCTGGCTACCAGCCCCTTCCACATGCTCCCAAAAAGGAATCTTACTGCCAGAGCACACACTGTGACCTTTCCCATTTCCACTGAAAACTCCACCTAACCCTGCATAGGGACCATCAAGAGGGAGAAACTGACCCTATGGTTGGACTGTGCTTTCTGATCTTTCCTTCCAACTTATTAAGGAGTTTCAATAACCCTTTAACACCTGACCTCAGGAGAAAACATTCATGAGAGGAAGGAGGATGAGGTGGAAGGCCTCCTGGATCTCCCCCGCAACAGGAGAGAACAGAGTTATGTAGCAGGCTATGTGTTTGATTAAACTGACAGTTCTCAGGTCTCCAATATATTTGCAGAAAAAAATACATCACGGGCAACAGCAGTGTTAGGTACACTCACGTTTCCCCACCAATGTGCTTCCTCATTGACCTGTAGTGGGTGAGGGGGATAGTTTGGCCCTCACAGCACATTCGCTTTTCTGTTTTGTCTCCTCAGTGAGTGGCTAATGTTAACAGTGATGGTGGCTTCTACACCGAATTATATCAGGCTCCAAAATACTACTAAAGCCAATCACGAGCGGCAATCAGCTTCTCCTTTTCACCTAAGCGGAGCAAGCGTGTCTAGTCTTTTCGCTGTGAGGTCTGAGCTCCATGTGTGTATATTGTGTACACGCGCACCCACAAACACATGAAAAATCCAACTGAAACAAAGACTCTAATTTGGATTAGCAAATGGAGAGCGACTATCACTCTTCACCGCTGTTCCAAGTTGAGATACTTCATCAATCATAGAGGCGAAAGAACAGAAACCGCAGAGTGATATCATTTGCACTTGTCAGCCAGCTGGGCTGAAGCAGTGGTCGCCTACAAAAATAACACTGAAAGATCCATCCCAATATAGCCTCTCCTTACTCGAGTGGTATCAGTTTCTAATGTGTCCCTCAGCTCTCATTGAAGAGAGTGATGACATGCCATGAGGCATCAGGGCTTATGCTTGGAGAACAGTGCTCAAGAGATATGCACTTCCCTCCCATATTAAAATAAAGGCATTTGTTGCCAAACTACCACTGAGACAAAGGTCATGGGATGGCGAATATCTTCAATATTTCCCATTTGGACAGCCCTGCAATCGTCTATAAATATTCATGGGAGAAGTAAAGAAGTGTTAAGCTCAC